AGGGTCACATATGTACTTTATATGTAGGGTTAGGTTTCAACTAATTGAAACAGGGCAGTTTAATGGTGGTGAGGGTAGATCCGTAAGCTCTTGCTTAAACTGGAGCGTAAAGTGCACACTAGAGGCTTAGTAAAAGTTTGTAACTAATTCTGTACTTAGCTAGTTAGTTAGCAGTTCATGAGCTCTCTGTGAAGAAATGCATAGTCATGACATTCACTCGCAGTGATCCATAGCCTTCAAATATGAGCAGAGGTTTCAGTTTATCCTGTTCAAGTCGATTCTAACTTAACTTACGGTAAAAATACTTTTCCACTGGAATATAGTATTTATTCATGAAATAATTGATTTTATATCTAAATTTTATATACTGTATAAAACATTCAGAAACCACAGAAAGCCTGTTTTTTTGACATAGAATAAAAAATTAAAAAGGTAATTGTGGCGTTTTATCGCGCAATTCTGATAACTATTTTTTGAGAGGAATTGTGAGATGTAAACTCGCAACGTCAGAATTCTGAGTAAAAAAAGTCAGAATTCTGTTTATATCTCGCAATTCTAAGTTTGTGTCTTTTCTGACTCTTACATCTCACATTTCTGTTTTTCTCCCTTCATGGAGTAAATAATAAAAAAAAAGTTAATTGCAACTTTTATGACTTTTCAGAATTGCAAATTTATATCTGGCAATTCTTCAAGAAAAAAAGTCTCAATTTTGAGATACAAAGCAGAGCCAATGAGTCATTATTTTACATAATGATGTTTCTTTTAAAATGTTAACGAGTGTATATGTCATCATCATCGAGTTATAAATATGCACATATTTAGTAGAGCATAAGTTGTAACCTAATGCCCTTTTATGTCAAAACTAAGGCTAGGTTATGCAAAGCTGGTGCAACCGGCCACAAATCTGATTTGTCCAAGGAGGCCCAATGAAATATACTGTACAGGGACGTCACTGCTTGTTTTTGGCATAGTGTCTTATTAAATGTATGTCCTACAATAAATCATTCAGCATAAAATTCACTGCAAGTAAAACACACATGTGCACAATCTCTCTTTGTCTCTCATTCTCAGATGGAGGCATCCATCTAGTGGTGGAAGTACAGATATATGTGACCCTGGAGCACAAAAGCAGTCTTAAGTCGCTGGGGTATATTTGTAGCAATAGCCAACAATACATTGTTTGGGTCAAAATTATCCATTTTTCTTTTATGCCAAAAATCATTAGGATATTAAGTAAAGATCATGTTCCATGAAAATATTTTGTACATTTCCTACCGTAAATATATCAAAACCTAATTTTTGATTA